GTATGCATAGTCATGACCCTGCTGGGTTTAAATTTTGCATAAGAAAAAAGACAGTAAAAGAAAAATATGCCAAAATATTGAGCAGTTGTTTTGATGGTGATTCCAAAGGTAAACCTTCCTCCTGTTTACTTTTTGATAGTTTCTAAATTTTTAAGTGTTATTGTATAGTGGATACTATATACTTACGAAAACTTTTATTTTGAATTCAAAATAACTTCACTATTCTTTCATCTCAAAATTTCTGTTTAAATTGTCTTCTCTCCATCTTTGCCTCCCTGGCCTAAAACCAGCACCCTGCACCCTGGTCTGGTTCATTTGCTGTTTCAGACAAAGGAAACTGGACCCACTCTGGTCCCTGCTGGAGGCTTCTCAGGTGGCTGGGGCCAGAGCATGAGCTGGTTTATGCTAAAGGAGATGATAAAGTGGCCCTTGTCCATGTGCCCTGGCCATGGCTCATTCTAGTTGTGGCTTCCCTACAACATTTAGTTATTGATGTTGATAGAGAATCTAAGTTCAAATATTTTATGAAATAGTGGTAACCACTGGTTGGGTAAAAATTGTGTGTATATTTTACAAAAGTAAAGAGGAAGAAAAAGCAAAGGAAGCCCTTGTAACAAATAGATGCTAGTGAGAGGAGTATTTGAAAGGGGAAAAAATGCAGATAACATGCCATAAAAATGACAAAACTAAGACCAAATATGTCCTTTTCATAATAAATGAATGAATGCTTTAAATTTCTCTAGGAATCTAGGAATCTCTCTAGGAAATCTTTGGGAAAAGACATTTAAGATAGATTTTGGCTCCACAAACAAAATTAAATTTTATTCTATTTATAAGAGCAAATGGCTAAAACAAAATGAAAGGTCAAAAATAAGGGATGTATACTTAAAATTTCTGAGAGAGTAGATCTTAAATGTTCTCATGTCACCAAAAAAAAAAAAAAAGGTCATTAAGTGAGGTGATGGAGATGTTAACTAACCTTACTGTAGCGATCATTTTGCAGTATATATGTGTATTAAATCACACTGTACACTTTAAATTTACATAATATTACACTTAATCTCAGTAAAGCTGGGTAAAAGAAGATACAAGAAGAAAAGGACCAATTAGGACATATGAAGCACAAACAAAAAGCAGGGACACAAGAAATGACACATGACAAAGTAAATTAGAAACAAAAGCCATAAGTAGGACAAAATATGTTATTTTATACTCATAAAATTCCAATCCACAAGGAAGATATGACAGTCATATCAACACAGGTAGAATATGACAGTCCTGAAATATTTAAAGCTAATCTTCCAAATGTAAGTCACTGCAGACATAATCATAATTGTAGAGAGATGGTAGACTACCTCTCTCGGTCTTGGGTAAGTGAAGTAGAAAAAATCAGGATGAAATTTGAAGAATAAACTCGGAAGATTTACGAGGTACATGATGGGATACAGTTGGAGACGTTGATCCGTATGCTTCAATCCCTGCCCAATATTCTTCTGCTCCTGCCCACCCAGTGAGATTTGTCACTCACGACAGGACCAGACTCAAGGACTGCAAGCACTAGATTCACCAGCTGGCCTGACCCCAGGACAGAGAGATGTGAATGCACACTAGCATAGCACTCTGTGGACCAGGGAATGGAAAGGGGAAGTAAGAGCCAAGGACCACAGGAAAGGAACAGAAGAGAACACCCAAACCTCTGCCAGAACATGGGCCATCTGTCCAGAGTGCCAGAGACAACCACAGCATCCTTCTTGTCATTGACCTTGAAGACCACCGAGTGCCCAGAGATCCTTCAGTTTAGAGTGATGATGGTTTATGCCTCAAGACTCTCCCATTGGTTTCATTCCATGTAGACAACTGTGAAATAGCCCAAGACATCTGTATACTCCTTCCCCAAACAGACTGAGGAGCTATGGGCTGTTGAGTCCTGGAGGGGTGACAGTGATGTAAGAGACAAGCCTTGAACTGGCCAACATGGCTCCACCTAGCATGAGACTGAGGTCTCCCTAAGCTAGGAATTTCAGTGGAACACATATTCCTATTACCAATGAACTGAAAAACTATACCCTAGAAACCAAGACTATACATTATTTCAAGCCTTTATGGTACATTTATAAAATGTAACATAATTGGCTATGTAAAAAAATTCAAGATACATTATTTGACAATAGTACCACAAGTCTAGAATTTAGGATATCATGAATTAAAAAAATCAAATCACCTAGAAAAGATTTTAAAAAGTTGTCCTGAGTAGCATTTGGATTAAAGAGGAAATTAAAACAGCAATTACAGTGGGGAAGGTATAGCTCAGTGGCAGAGCGTGTACATGCACAAGGTCCTGGGTTCAAGCCCTAGTCCCTTCATTAAAAAAAAAAAAGCCTAATTACATCCCCCACCAAAAAGAATCCCCAAAAAACAAATTCACCAAACCACATATCGAAGATTTATTCACTGTGTGTGAGACAAACCTCAGTTTAATAAAGTCATTGAATGAATAAAATTTAAACAAACTGCAGTTACAAACTTATTTAGAACACAATTAGAAGAACTATCTCACATAATGAAAACAAGATGTGAAACCAAAGCCATACCCTGGAGGGAAATTCATAGTTTTACATGTGCCGATTATAAAACAAGAATATATGAAAAGAAATAAAACACACATTCAACCAAAGAGATTAAGGAGTCCCTAGATAAACGTTAGTGGGCATTTGTGTTGCTGTTGTTTGCAGATAATTTTTTTTTGGCTGCTTAGCCTCCGAAGCTTCTTCCTCTATTAGGGAAATCCACTGTGGTGTGGGTCTTATTAGGGAAATGCCACTGGTCATATCATCTAGACTTAGCTAATCAGATGCTGCCCCCTGGAACTTTGAATCTGGAGCAAGTGCCTGAAGAAGCAGGGAAGAGCTTAGCCTCCATTCTAATGGTAGTTGCAGGCTGTGGATCAGTGGCGGAGCCAGCACATCACAACAAGTTGCCCGTGGACATGCTTGGGATCTGACTACTTGGATTCCTAGTTCCTGCCTGATCCCCCAACCTGGTTCCCCACACCCTCCCAAACCTCTGGGCTGCCTGATATCCTTGTCCAATACGTTCTTTTCCAGCTTAGGGTCAGTTTCTTTTGTGAATAACTTCAATCCCTTGAACAAAACAGAAGGAAGAAATGTATAATAAAGATAGAAATTTAATGAGAGGAAAAAAAAATCTATGGCCATGATGAATAAACTCAAGAACTGTTTTCTAAACAACCAGTAAAATTGGCAAACCTCTGATGAGTCTTACCACCAAAAAAAATTAAGAAAAATCACAAATACTTTTACAAAGGAAAAATGTATATGAAAGATTCTGAAGTTTAAAAATGATGAAAATATGATGTATAATTCTATACTTGATAAAACGAAGAGATAAATTCACTGAATTTGAATATACTATCAACCATGGAAAAAAGGCCAAAAAGTTTAAAAAAAAAATCATCCCTTCTCCAAACAGCACAGAGCCAAACTGGTTTAGGGGGAAGTTCCTTCAAACCTGTGCTATTTAAATAACTCTTGGGCATGGAGAAAGAAGGCAGGTGAGCCTGTTGCAGGTAGCCCTGGACCCCAGTTGCCCCTGCATTAGTAGCAGTTCTCCTGGGGGGTTCTGCCTGTTGTGTGGACAGGCCATCTTGCTATGCTGTTTGAACTCAGTTGTCACCACCCTCGCACCTGCTAGTTACCTATCTGTGGTCGGTGTCAGCTGTATATAGGCCAGTCAAGCCCACAGCACTCAAGCAAGTCATTACTAATTAACCCTTTGGATGGCCTTTTATCTCCTTCACTAAGTTCATTAATTTTCTCCCATATCAGAGGAAGAATGATTCTGTTTGCATCCACTAGGGGAAAGTGAGACAACTGAGGCACAGGGAGATGTAGTCGCTGGCCCAGTCCTCACTGGGATGAAGTCAGGGACAAGGGAGTTGGGAGTTAATGGCAAAGGAGAGGCTGCATGACTTTTATTCTGGAGAAATGCAGGACACCAGAAGTGGACGCCAGGGAACAGGTGTATATTGGGACTAGGTCATCCCACATGGGATCTGTGGAGGGTCCAGAAAAAAGGAGCTTCTTTTGTTTAGGTGGAGAATGGAGGAGGAAGGTGCTTGTTTCTTTCCACGGTAAGCATTGCTAAGAGTGGGTTCTAGGTCTTGTGAGCCTTACGGACCTTTGGTAGCCAGATTCCCCTCAGATGCTGACCTGGGGGTGGGGGCAGCTCTGACACGACAATCAACAGGATGCTCCAGACCCTTGGCCGGGCCTCCGCGCACGTGGGCGCTTTGGCTTCTGTGCAAAAGGACGCTCTGTAGCGGACACAACTGGTAGGATTTACCGAGGGAGGTGGATCTCTCGTCGGGTGAATTTCTCCGGGGTGCAGAGCGCGCTGTTTAAGGCTCCTTAACACAGTTGACAGTGGGCTCAGCACTCTCTGGAGGCGAGCACCGTATTTATTAAATTGCCCAATAACTCCTGGGCTCCTAGAGGACCAGAATGTATCCAGATCACCGAGCGGAGATAAGAAGAAATAGCCCTGCCTCCCACAGGCCGCTTTCTCTTACCCCAAGTTCCGGTCCCGTTCATTTCTCTCTCCCTAGGCGTATTTCGGAGCGTCCCTTTCTTAAAACAGAAATCTACCGAAAATGCGCCTGAGGGAGGCGATATTGCCCGTGAGCAAAAGCAGATTTCGCACCAAGTCCCAGAAGAACAGAGAGGTAATACCTCTCTCCCCATCCAGGGCAATCGTAAAGCCAGATGCATCACGCCCTACGCCCAGCAAGTGGCCTTGTGTGGCTCTGCTCTCTAGACCCCGGGACATCCCCACGCCCAGCTTCTTAGGCCCATTTTCCCAGCCACTCGGGTCCTCCGGGTCTCCACGCAACAATGAAGCGTGGGCGGCCCCAGCGGCCTCATTTGCATACCTCCGCGGCTTGGCCAATGGGCTGCGCAGGGGCCTTAGAACGCAGTGTTGCCATCTGCGTGCGCGCGTGTGTGCGAGTGTGACAGCGGCTGCGACTGTGGCCGTGGCCGTGGGAGGCGGGCCTGGCGGAGCCCAGCAGCGCGGGGACCGGCCCCAGCGCCCGCTCCCCGAGCGCGTCGCGGCCGCGTGGCCCGGTGGAGCCCAGAGACCATCCGGCCCCGGCCCCGCGCTGTCGTGATGTCGGTGGCGGGGCTGAAGAAGCAGTTCCACAAAGCCAGCCAGGTAGGGAGGCACCGAGGAGGGAAGGAGGGAAGGAGGGGGATTAGGGTCCCCTCGAGGCTCCAGGGGTCTTTGCGTCTCTGTCCCCCTGAGGGGCTTCTGTTAGGCGTGGATTTCTTCCCGCCTAAGAGGGCGCGGGGGTGGAGTAAAGGGCCGCCTGCACTCTCCTCCGCTCCTTGGCGCCTCCTCCTTCCCAGCCCCCGGCCCCGGCTGTACCCCGGGCCACTGTAATTCCGAGAGGTTCTGCGGAGGAGAGAACTGAGGTGGCGGGCCGCAGGGTCTCGGGCTCAGGGGAGAGAGTGGGCGTCCCGAGGCCTGGAGGCTCCACTCGATGCCTCTCCCAGACCTGCGTGCGCGCTGCAGGAGGACCACAGAGAGTGCGGAGCCGGCTGGGCCTCCCAAAAGTCCCCCGCCTTTTGGTTGGGAGCCCCCAGGGCACGTCCTGACACCTCTGGGTAGCCGTGTGAGCGTCGGCGGTTCCGGGGATGCGATGTACTTGGCACTCGGCTGGGCCCCGCGGCGCTCCCCGCGCGCGCCTCGAAATGGACCCCGCCTGACTGCGCCCCCAGTTCCCGGGCTGGGAGAGGGTCTCCACAGTCGTCCTTCCTCGCCCCACCGTCTTCCTGGTGTCATTCTGGGGCTGGGCACAAGGCTTCTGCTCTTAAAGAGCTGTCAGTCTGGTAGGGAGATACCGAGACCTACACGTAAACAAATAGTATTAGACACACCTCAACGCACAAGGGATGGCAGATAATATAGTAGGGGCATCAAGGAAAGCTTCCCGGAGGAAGAGTCATGTCATTTGAGAATTAACAATGAGGAGGAATTGTAGTAGGGGATGTGGGTGGAAAGGAGGATAGGCATTCTGAGCAAAGGAAATGGGAAAACAGGCAGGGAGGCATGAAATTGAGGGGGGGTGTTGACAAGCAAATTTGTATTCCAAGACTGCAGTCTCTTCCAGCCATGGGCAGAGCTCTCATTGTAAAATATATCCCACATCTTCACTGCTGGATCTGTTGCTCTGTACTTACCTCTAGTTTTGCTAGAACCAGGGTGGATAGATTTCATTCAGAATTCATGTTTCTGATAAGATCTCAGCCTGCTTCTTCCACAAATTGGTCCCTGAAGAGCAGCTGGAATTAGAGGATTCTCTTCTTTTGGCAGGCTCAGGCTGAAAGGCACTGCCATCCCCTCACTCTCATCTCTTCCATGAGGAAACTGGGTGATGCCTAGTTCCCTGCTGGGATCACTGGGTGGACAGTGGTGTGGATTAGGGTGATAAGGGGTCCTGGATGAGAGGTCAATTAAGTGACCAGGGAGATGGTGGATTCACTGTGGGCTTTGGGCACTTTGAGAGGTCTGTAGGACATTCAGATGTCCACAGGCCTGGAGGGTGAGGGCAAGGCTGGAGCTATAGATTTTGGGGGTTTTTCAGGCTAAACAGAGATTTAAAAATACAAGTGCAAATGAAAGAAAATGCACAGTGAGCTACACATAGACTCTAGGGAGCACCCACGATTAGGGATAATGTTTAGCCCAGGACTTGATAAGCAGTGACCACTCAATAAATATTTATTGAATAAATGAAACTTTTGGGGTGGAGGAGCACAGAAAGGAAAGAACTACTAGAGTGCAGGAGAGAGGAAAGTGTCATGGAAACCCAGAGAGGCAGGAGCATTTAAGGGTGGAAGCAGTCAGCAGGTACTGCTGTGAGCTCTGCACTGAGGAGCAGGCAGCCCAGGGGCTGAGTGCCACTGTGGTCAGGGGGGTGCCTGTGTGATTGCTGGCTGGCTTGCTACACTAGCTTCCTTAGCTCCGGGAGGGAACTAACCTCTTTTGAAAAATATTCTTTTATTGGGTATGGACTTCACAGGAGCAAATCTCAGAGATGAACAAGACACAGCCCTTGGATGATTGAAATTGGTTTCTGACTAGTAACCAGAGTGAAGAGTTGAAATCCCAGGAAGTTACTGGCATTGGTGAAATATTATGCTAGTGATGAGGTCGTTTAGTTTAGCTACCCATAATCAGTCCGTTAAAAAAGAAATGAGCAGAAGGGCTAATTTATCCTTTTTGTATGAGCTGAAAACTTTTGTGACTTTACCTGAAAAGAAAGACATCACAGATTCTTTCTGGGCTTTATAAACCACGTTTTGTGGTCAAAGTACCCAACTGATACAATTTTATCTGTTCTAGAAGTCTTTCTAAGAAATCTTGCAATGTGACAGAATTCATGGAGATATTAGATTGGGCTTAATATAATAAGAGGGGAGCATGATAATAAAAAATGCCAGATGTTCTTCTCAGACAACCTTTTAACAGCAGGTTTTAATTCATGGAGAACTTTCCCAGAGCAGGGGAAAGGGAGTCCCGGATGATGTCAATGGCTTAATGATTCCCAGGGATCCAGGCTTGGCTCTGCCACTGACCAGCTCTGTGACCTTGGAAACATGACTTAACCCATCTGGATGTTAGTTTTCTCTCTGTATAATGAATTAGAGGATTTAGAAGCTTTGTTCTAAAATTGATTATGGTGATGATTGCACAACTCTGTGAATATACTAAAAATCATTGAATTGTACATGTTAAGTTGTGAATTTTATGGTGTATGAATTATATCTCAAGAGAATAACATCTCTATCTCTAATCTATCCCAGTTCTGAACTTGTTAAGTAATTCACTAAAGTATTTCAGAGAAAGACAAAGATTATAAAGTAGACCTTTTACAATTAAGGGAACCAAGACCATGACAAACTGAGATGATTTATCTCAGTAATAGGCAAGGTGAAATAACTTATAACTTCCTGGTTAACTGGTCCTTCTTTCTTGATATCTTACCTATCTCTGCAGAAAAAAAAGAAATCCCCTAACTTCACAGAGAATGAAAAACTGTAAACCCCAGGGATTGTGCATCATTTTGGCAGCGCATGGAGACTAACAGGAAAGAGGAAGAAATAAACTAAAATGAGAAGAGTACAAGTTGAATTAATAACAAAATTTAATTAATCCTTTCCTTCAGCATTTGGGACTGTGTAACCCACGTGTCCCAAGTTTGTAATGAAATACCTTTTTCTCTTGAAAAGGTGTTTAAATAGAGCAATTTACTCTTCTATTGGTAGGGATGCAGCTTGAGTTATTAGGGATAAATACAAATAGCTTTGAGCTGGCATTGTGGCTCCTTGCTAAACATTGTGTCTGACCGATAAAAATGTAACTTACAATAATTGTATCTCGCACTCATGAGTTTGTATTCATTGTGTTTATTTCCCCGTAATTTTCTTGACAGCATTTATTGTTGGTGCAGGTTGCTTGGGCCACATCTGTGCTTGCTCTGACTTGGACACGGTGCTAGAAGCATGTTCCTTCCCTTTCTGGACTTCCAGGAGCCCTGTCCCCCATGCCATGAAAGCCTAGTTTCATCTTTCCTCTTTTTCTTCTTCTCTCCACAAACTAACCATCTAGTGATGACAAAAGGTGGTGATGACACTTGTGGGCTTCATGTTAAATTTACTTCTTTTTGCCCTTATGTAGCAGCACCCTTTAACCTCTGTCATGTGACCCAGAAACACAATAGGGACTAGGAACCCCCAACAAAGCTCTTTTTTGTAACTTGCCTCCCTTTTGCTTTTGATGCATTAATCAGAAAAATGATGAGTGGTCATACAGGGCCAGGACATTCTCCCTGTAATGACTGCACAGACTGGCCGTTAATGGGTAAACACTTCAGAGAAGGATATTCTTTGTAAATTATGAGAATCTCAAGGGAGGCAGTGAATGTCTCTTGTTTCACTTCCTCACTAGAGAGAAAGATAAAAATGCACTTTGAAAAATCCATAATGATTAATTTTTTTCCTCTTAGATGCATCAGAAAATATATTAAGCTAAAACATTCTTACTTCTTTCCACATAGATTGCTTGATAAATTAATCCATAAATCTATGTGTTATCCACATATTTTTAAGTCAGGGTGCTAGAGTAGATGCTCAAACTAAATTGATTTTAATTCTTTTTAATATCTGAAGAATACAGTGTAATCCAAACTTTTTTTCCCATTGATGACTTTTTTCCTAAAGTAATGTCAGTTAGCCTATCACTTGGAATTTGATTAAAATGCATTTAAAAGCAGGGATTTTGTGTGTGTGTGTCCCACTTTTTCAGCTTTATTAACAAATTGACTATAAATTATATATCCTAATGTTAAATGGGGGGGTGTATCACATGTATTTGAAGGAAGCTATTATTGGCATGCTTTAGCCAGAAAATAAAACTGCCAATAAACAGAGCTGATACATGACTTTATTTGGCCAAATAATAGGTGAATGTATTCTGGAGATTCTACATCAGCAAAGCATGGATAGCTAGATTTTGCTTTTCAGTAGAAACCTGGGAAAGTGTTGAGTTTGTGGGAAGGATCTGGAGGAAGCACTGGAGGTGGGATTAGGAAAGCATTGCTGCAATTCTAACTATTCTGGTTCTTCCGAGAGATACCTTCCCAATGCACTCTACCCTTGCAGTTCCCGGGGTCATCCCCACATGTTTTTACAAAACACAGCACCAGCACCAGTGACCTTCCTGAGCCCAGTCTTGTTCCTTCTGACTTTCTTTCTAATTCATTGGATGATGCTGTCTTTCCCACTGGCATTGGACAAACCTTTCTCAAACACTGATGTCATCCAGTGCTTTGCTCGATCAAGTCATCGATCAGTGATAGGAGCTGCTGCTGTTTCAGGCTGGATGACTTGGGTACTCCCTACTGAACCTGATATCTGAGTCATACCTCTTCATCTACATCTGTTCTTTCTTCCTTCTGGGCACAGTTCAGAGGTCTGGAGAGACCTGTCAGTTAATGCACTGGTGCTCCTCTGTTTCTCCCAGTGTAACAAGGACGGGGCACACCTGGCTGGCCTCTCCACTCTGCTTTGAACCCTGTCTCCTCTCATTTTCTCAGTGATTTTTGCTACTGGGTTGCATCTCTCTTCACCACTGCATCTTCTTCTTTCCTG